TGGAGGAGGCAGTGGCACGGCGCTGCACTCTGACACAGACGGTCCCCTGGTCACAGGAGTGGCCTGTGTGAACATGAGCCGCTGCTCAGCTGCCCTCGGTGTAACCGCAGGAGCACGAAGCTCCGGACTTCCTGTGTCATGGACCCAGGGACGCTTCCCGAGGGGGGGGTGCCGTGGGCTTGTGATCGCCACGGCTTGGTTTCTCGGCTGACTCACATGTCCTTTTCTCTACTGCGGGTGGGCCACGGGCTGTCGGTCTGGGCAGTCTCCACCTTGCCCCGGGCGTCAGGTGGTAACGTGCAGCACGGAAGACGAGAGTGGTGGGGACTGAACGCTTGTGTGCTGTGTCACTCCGTGAGCACACGCCGGCTCGTCCGTCCGTCCTTCCTTACCTGGCCCGGTTCCGGCGTTGGTATGAAGCTGCTTCCTGGCTCTCCTGTCAGCTTCCTAGAGAGGCCCGGGTGGGCTGGCTGGAAGTCCTTTCCGACGTGATTTGGGCCTGTGTCCAGCTCGAGTTTGGCAGGAGGTGGCAGCACGTGCCCGCGGGCGGAAGTGGACTGCGTTCCTGGCTAGTCCATGGCTGCCTTTGTCACGACGAGCCCTTCAGAAGTGTTCTTTGGTCTCCACACCAGAGTTCTGTCCTCCTGTGCTTAAAGGAAGCCCCCACCTCCGACAGCAGCAGACGTACCCTCTGCCCCTCGCAGCACATGGAGTGCCTTGGAGAGCCCCGGCGAGACTGCAGGCCCTGCACTGCTGTTCAGTGGCCCAACCAGTGAGGTGTGGAAGGGGGACGGCCAGGGCCTCCGGAAGGGAGCAGGACAGCACCTCCTAAAAACAAAGGGGCACCCCGGGCGTCCCTCCCACCTCGGCTCTCTGAGTCCCCTGCAGTGGCAGCCAGTCCCCCAGCGTGTGTTCCAGAGCAGAGGCCCCCACGTCCCCTCTACTTCACACTTCCCCTCAGCTACCAAATCCCAGCTCTTTTCTCCTCGTCTCCCCTTGCCCTTTTCCTGCCACCCTCCTCTGGGGACCTCCTCTTAGGGAGCCCCAGCCTTTCTGCCCCGTCTCCTCCTGGCCTCATTCAGCCTGTGCTGCTCTGCAGAAGCTCGTTTTCACTGCTCAAGGCTCTGACTCCTGCATCCCTTCACGCAGCTTCCGTTCCACACAGGCCTGGCCACGGAAATCTTGTCAGACAGACCCAGCATGGACTCCCTGCTCTCTCTGGCCTAGTTTTCATAACCTTTCTAAGTTTCAGCAAAATGCAATGCTGGGTGAGATGCGGTGCTCCAGGGGGCGCACCCGGCCGCAGGTGCTGGGTGAGAGGCGGTGCTCCGGGGGGCGCTCCCGGCCGCAGGTGCTGGGTGAGAGGCAGTGCTCTGGGGGGCACGCCCAGCTGCAGGTGCTGGGTGAGAGGCAGTGCTCCAGGGGGGCACTCCCGGCCGCAGGTGCTGGGTGAGAGGTGGTACTTCAGGGGGCACGCCTGGCCGCAGGTGCTGGGTGAGAGGCAGTGCTCTGGGGGGCACGCCCAGCTGCAGGTGCTGGGTGAGAGGCAGTGCTCCAGGGGGGCACTCCCGGCCGCAGGTGCTGGGTGAGAGGTGGTACTTCAGGGGGCACGCCTGGCCGCAGGTGCTGGGTGAGAGGCAGTGCTCCGGGAGTCACGCCCAGCCGCGGGTGCTGGGTGAGAGGTGGTACTTTGGGGGCGCGCCCAGCCGCAGGTGCTGCAATGACGGCTGTGTCTCAGGAGGCCCGGAGCTCTGTGTTTTGGGTGGTGTCACTTCAGGCTCAGCTGTGGCTTACCGGCCTTAATCCTGTCTTCCTGTCCTTCATGCCTTCATTTACACCTCATCCAACACCACCCAGATGCGCTTGCGGGTTCTGCACTAGCTGGGGATGCCCAATTTTTTATTTTTGGAGAGGTTTTTGCTATAGGGCGTGTGCTCACCAGACAAAGAGAAACAGAGAGACAGAAAGTGAGAAATCACCCCCCAGGGGGGATGACCACACCATAGTCCCTTCTCCATTCTCTTCATGGGGTCCCGGACACGGATACACACGCTCCCAGTTTAAACCACCGGGTCTGGGACTCCAACCGTGGTTGAATACATGGGAGTCCAGAGACATAGCCATTACGCTAACTGCCGGTCCCAGGGATGCCCGTGTCTTCAGCTGGCCCTGTCTGGTTTTTTCTCAATGCGCCTGCTGCCCTGTTCCTGTCCTGTATGGTGTGCAGTGCGTTTGCCACGTGTGCCTCTTAGCTCTGCGTCAGCCCCCAAATTGGTGGCCCTCGGCACTGCCTGTGTGTCCGAGCACCTGCACTGCATGGGCACGCGGTTGTTCGCGACAGTCGCTTGGTCTAAGGGCGGGTGTGGGTGCACCACCTGCTCTTGCTCTGGAGTGTGTGTCCTCCAGCAGGCGGGCCTCTGGGGTTCCTCCATCAGGCTCTGCGTTACAATCCGGGGTGCAGAACGAAAGGCAGAAGCCCCAGGTGGTGCTGCCTTGTATATTCTGCAGCAGAATGTTACTCTAGTTTACTTTTTTTGAGAGAGATTTTTGCTATAGGGCCTGTGTGCTCACCAAAGCGACGGAGACAGAAAACAAGAAATCACTCCCTGGGGGGTGTGGCCACGCCTGTGACCCCTTCTCCATTCTCTTCTCAGGGTTTTGGACACGCACAGGTGTCCTACATGTGTCTCAAGCCGCTGGGTCTGGGATTCACACTGCAGCCGACGATGTGGGAGCCCACCGCTGTCTTCTCCTTTTAAAAAGCAGCCCGCCCTTACCCCGACTCCCACACCTCACTGCCGCTCTCTTCATAGACGCCACTGAAGGGAGAGACTCCTCCCTGAGCTTCTGGCCATGGGACAGACTAGATAAATGCGAGACCCAGACTTCTCCTCGTCTCTCTGAGCAGTGGCAGAGAAGTCTTCACTTCAGTGGTGCTGGGGTGTTTCCAGTCCCGCTCTGTATTGTCTCCAGTTACCTACCGAGTGGTTTCATCGCCCCTCGTTTTCCAACATTGGACCTCAGACGTTTCTTTTTAAGAATAATTAATTATATGGGCCAGCAGGCGGTATGGTGGTTAAGGAGCTGCACTCCCACATGGCTGACACTGGTTTGAGTCCCGGACCTGGTGGCTTGCTTTCTCACTTTCCCTCTCTGTCTCTCTGTGGTCAAATTAATAATAATAATAATAAATAAAATTAAATAATTCTTTTTTAAAAGGAAGGGATTATTAATGGAGGCCAGCAAGTGGCATGGTAGTTACGGGCACTGGACTCCCACGTGGCTGACCACAGTTCATGTCCTGGACCTGGCGACTTGTTTTCTCACTTTCTCTCTCTCTCTCTCTCTCTCTCGCTTATACTCTATATATCTTTTGTGAAGTTAAAATAAATATTTTTAAAAAGAATTAATTTATTATATATTTTGAAAAATTTACCATAGGGCACATGCACTCAGGAGAGACAGAAAGGGGGAGAGAGAGGAAGTGAGAAAGCAAGCCGCCAGGTCGGGGGCTCAGACTGCGTTTGACCATGCGGGAGTCCAGCACCTCGCCATCTGCTGGCCTAGACAGCTAGCATGCTTGCCTCCCTCTACCTCAGGGGTGTGTGGAAGCCAGAATACAGTCGACCTTACGCAGGTACCAAAGCCTTCAGACTGAGGACAGGAGAAAGCTGCATAGCCTGTGTCCGTAACCTGTACAGTGTGTGGCTTGTGCTGTAGAAAAACCCGTGATCTCGCGCTGCGCCCAGGAGGCCGTTTGGCCTCTAGCTCTTTAACCAAGCCTAGCGCCACACCACTGAGCAGAAGAGTGAACAAAGACCCCCAGCACATTGGGGGAGAGGTTGCCCCCCTGCAGCCCAGCGCCACGCCTGGGCCGGCTGTGAGCTGCCATGGCCATCACCACAGGGAAGTGGTCAGGAAGAATGGAAAGAGTCGTTTCATGCCCCATGAATGCTTTGTGAAATTGACCTTTCCAGAACCAGCAGTTGGCATAATGACTGTGTCGCTGGACTCCCATGTAGTCGACTGCAGTTCGAGTCCCAGACCTGGTGGCTTAAACTCATACTAGGCATGTGTGCCCAAGATCCCAAGAGGAGAATGGAGAAGGGATTGTGGTGTGGCCATCCCCCCTGGAGGGTGATTTCTCGCTTCCTGTCTGTCTATCTGTCTTTCTGGTGAGCGCACGCGCCTTATAGCAAAAACTTCTCAAAAAGAAACTCACTTTTCCGTCTGTGATGTGTGTGGGCCAGCAGGTGGCATGGAGGTTAAGATGGCTGGGACCCCATGGCCAGCCGTGTGGTCTGAGTCCTGGACCTGGCAGCTTGAACATCAGGCCAGGCGCGTGCGTGTGCCCAAAACCCTGAGAGGAGAATGGAGGAGGAGGACTGTGGTGTGGTCGTCCCCCTGGGGGTGCTTTCACGCTCTGTCTGGAGAGCACATGCACCCCTATAGCATACCTGAAAACAATCACTTGACAACAGACTTTGAGAGAACACAGCCGTGTACGCTTTGCCGTGTGTGGTCTGTGGCTGCTTTCGTGCCACAGTGGCCAGATTGAATGGTTGTGGCCGAGACCTCACGGCTGGCAAAGTCCAAAGTACATACCGTGACTCATACAGAAAATGCGAGCGGACAGTGGGTACAGGACGGTGTGAGACCCTGGGTCTCCTGACATTGGTTTGAAAAGACTGGTGACACGGGACCTCCCACTGGACGCCCTCCTCCCCACTGCCAGCTTGGCACTGCACCGTACCGGCAGGCACTCACTGCCCACACCCACTGTGGCCTGCCGAGCTAGGTGAGGGTGGCAGGCCCTCGCAGCCATCCCCCCGCTGCTTCTCCCCCCAGTAACGACTGGGTTCAAAGAGGGCGCGGGCGGAGAGGGCTTCCGGATTCCTGCTCTGCGAGCCCTCCGTGGGGTGGGTGTCTGTGTTGCAGCCATGACCCTTTTCCTCCAGCCTTTACTGCCATACTCACGGTATTCCAACCTCCCTCCACAGGCCAGATACCAGGACCCGGTTCCATGATGCCTGGGCAGCCCATGCCAGGCCGCATGATTCCCACCGTTGCGGCTAACATCCACCCCACTGGGAGTGGCCCTGCCCCTCCTGGGATGCCTCCAATGCCAGGAAACATCTTGGGACCCCGGGTACCCCTCACAGCACCTAATGGCATGTGTAAGTAGCACCAGGTGGGGGACACGTGGCCGCTGGGTCTGTCTCGGAGGGCAGTAATGAGGGAGGAAGGCTTTGGTCTCTACAGGAGATTTGGCAGGTCCACAGTGCTGCCATCTGCACCAGCTCCCGAAGACCAGTTCTCGAGCAGTGCACAGGTGGCCCTTCAGGGTGCTCTGTCTGGCCGGGCATGCGTGCCTCAGCCTTTGCGGCTCACCATGCCGGCACCGAGGTCCGTGGTGTAGCCTACGGGAGTCCTCTCCCGCTCCGTTCAGCCCGTGGAGGCTGCCTCTAGGCAGGCACAGCGTCACTGGTGGTTATTTTCCCAGTTTCCGAAGCAGTGGACATAAAGAAAAGAGTGGAAACAGGTTCTGAGCCGGCAGGACAATTAGGTCTCTCCTAGTCATTTTTATACACTGAGAGTGGCTCCACGGGCTGAGCAGGGAGGTGTCCAGGGGCTGTGTCGAGAAGGGCCGAGGAGCCGGCCAGCCCAGCAGAGAGCAGTGGCAGTCCAGAGTGACGTGTGTGTGCCATCGGGGCCAGGTCACCTCCCATCGGCCTTGTCCAGAAGCCCGTCTCCGAGGCTCCGGCCTGCCCCTTTCTCCTGCGGGCTTTGTCGGTGAGGAAGCTTGTGCTCCAGCCACATCTGTAAGCCAGGTTCATCTAGAGCTGCAGGGACGTGGCCAGGAGTTAGGACTTTGTCACAGTGGGGGCAGTTAACAGGCATTAAGCATGCCAGACCTGAGCCAGCCCCAAGGCCTAATGGTTAAGGGAACTGTCACGAACTGACCACCGTTTGAATCTCAGCCCTGGAGGCTTGAGAAACATGCCAGGCGTGCACGTGCCCAGAATCCCAACAGGATGGAGAAACGGAGAAGTGACCTCAGTGTGAGCACACCCCGCGAGGGGCGCTTCTCCAACTCTCCAGCGAGCACACCCCGCGAGGGGCGCTTCTCGAGGGTCTCTTCTCTAACTCTCCAGCGAGCACACCCCGCGAGGGGCACTTCTCCAACTCTCTCCAGCGAGCACATCCCGCGAGGGGCACTTCTCCAACTCTCTCCAGCGAGCACATCCCGCGAGGGGCACTTCTCCAACTCTCTCCAGCGAGCACATCCCGCGAGGGGCACTTCTCCAACTCTCTCCAGCGAGCACATCCCGCGAGGGGCACTTCTCCACAACTCTCCAGCGAGCACACCCCGCGAGGGGCACTTCTCCAACTCTCTCCAGCGAGCACATCCCGCGAGGGGCACTTCTCCAACTCTCTCCAGCGAGCACACCCCGCGAGGGGCACTTCTCCAACTCTCTCCAGCGAGCACACCCCGCGAGGGGCACTTCTCCAACTCTCTCCAGCGAGCACACCCTGCGAAGGGGCACTTTTCCAACTCTCTCCAGCGAGTACACAGGTTCTCTGGCAATAAAAGAGAGGGAATTTCTCGGCTACCAGAGCTTTCATTGAGAACACAAAATTAAAAGCTGGACCCAAGGTTGCACGAGGCTGTGAGTGCCCTGATGCAGTATGGGATAGTGGAAGACGTCCCAGAGCCGGCTTCATGGACAGAGACATGGCTGGCTCCTGTCCGGACCCCCAGGGGCTGGGGCAGAGGAAGCACATGGAGGAGAGACTGACTTTCACTAGGCGTGCAGGATCCCGGCAGTGTGGGACGATGACCTCCTTTAGCTCGGGCTCAGGGGCTTCAGCGCAGTGGCGTCTTGCCTGTTTCTGCATTGCTAACAGAAATACCTGAAGCTGGCTCTTTAAGAGAATGTTGGTTTGCGGCCGGCAGGTGGTGTGGTGGTTGAGGGCACTGGACTCCCACGTGGCCAACTGTGGTTGGAGTCCTGGACGTGGCAGCTTCCTTTCTTGCTTTCTCTCTCTCTCTGCCGGCTTTCCTCCCCCCACCACCCCCACCCCCTTGTCAAATTAAAATAACTAAATAAAGCTAAAATAATTAAAAAAGAGGGGCCAGCAGGTGGTGTGGTGGTTAAGGCACTGGAATTCCCACATAGCTGACCACAGTTGAAATCCCAGATCTGGTGGCTTGTTTTCTCTCTCTCTCAGTCTTTCTCTGGCAAAACTCATGTGAAAACAACAACAACAATAATAATAATAATAATGATTCTGTAAGAAAAAGAAAGAAAACAGTTTATTCGGACCCAGTGCTGGTAGCTGGAGGGTCCAAGGCTTCCAGAGGCGGCAGAGGGGAACCGGAGCAGTGCATGGTCTGTGTGTACAGGACTGCTTTCTCTCGTTCGCTGTTTCTCTTGCTCACTGTCAACCTGCTATAAACCCCACCAGAAATCCGTCACGGATGCATGGCCCTACTAACATCATGCCCCAACTTTCCACCCTGGCACACAAAACCCTGCACGGGCCGGTTCCATGGCCTAGCAGTTGAGGCAGCCAGGTCTCATGGTTGGCTACACAGTTCAAGTTCCAGACCTGCTGGCTTGGGAAACGTATGAGACACGTGCGTGTGCATGTGTGTGCACAGAACACTGAACGGAGGGAGGTGGAGAGGAGATTGCAGGTGATCGCTCTCTGTGGGGGAGGGCTCTCCTCTCGTCTCTGTGTGTCTCTCCCAACTGCTTGTGCCCTCTAGCACATAACCACACACATGGAACTTGGGGGGCACCCAAATTCCAAAACAGGAGGCCCTGAGGGACCGCTGTTACCCAGGCCATAGCAGTGGTACCTGTTTTCCTCGGCAGTTCCCCTCGCAGACCTGGCACGAGTGAGCCGGCCTGCCGAGAGACCGTGTCCCCCGTGTTGGCCACTGCCTGTCCTGCCGGGCACCTTGCTCAGGATGTCAGGTTTGTCCAAAAGATGCTCAGCGTAGCACAGAGCGTGGAGGGTCTCGGTTCTCCCCCGCCCCTCACTTCCTCCACAGACGCGGTGGTTCGGGGTCCCAGGCCACCAACTCGGCTCTCAGTGCTGGGCAAGCTGCACTGGAGAAGTTGCTTTTCCTCCCCAGACCTCAGTCTCTACCGAAAAGTGAAAGAAGGATGAGATCAGCGGGTTTCAGATGCTTTGAGGAGCCCTAGGGGTTCATCGGAGCTTCTTGGGGTCAAGTTGGGTGAATTCACTGGTGAGCAAGGTTGCATTTTCATTACTTGTTTCATGTTTTCACTTCTAGTGAGGTCTAGAGGTTTAAAACCCTGGATTACCAGCAGATGGCATGGTAGTTAAGGCGCTAGACTCCCACATGGCCAGCCACAGTTAGGAGTGTGGGACCAGGTGGCTTAGTGTGTCACACCTAACATGTGTGTCTCACCTGCCTGGAATCGCAAAAGCAAGACGGAGGGAAGGGATTGTGGCATGGCCATCCTCTGGTGGGGGCGAGCTGTCACTGTTCCTCCCCGCAGTCTCTTTCCGGCAAGCACACGTGCTCTATGGCCAAAGTAAACTAAAATAATAATATAATTAAATTAAAAACAAACAAGGAGCTGGCAGGTGATATGGTGGTTAAGGCGCCGGACTCCCTCATGGACGGCCGCACATGAATCCCAGACCTGATGGCTTTCTCTCCCTCCCCTCTCCCCACCCCTGTCTCACCCTCTTGCTCCCTCTCTCCCTCTCTCCCTCTCTCCCTCTCGCTCCCCCTCCCTCCCTCCCTCTCATGACTGCATGTGCTTTGTAGCAAATTACAAAATAATAACGATAAGTAATAATTCTTAAAAGCAAGTGGATTAAGTCACCTGTAGGGTTTCTTTACACTGCGGCTCTAAAGTCGAATGGGAGCAAGTCCCAGACACTCGTGTTTATCGTTCCCTTTAGGACCCGACTTAGTTTTGGCTGAAATCCAAAGGACTGCGGCCCAGGAGCTGCGGGACCTTCCTGATCGACTCACCCAGGTGGAGACAGCCAGCCAGGAGAGACCGAGAGTCTCTTCTGTGCCCAGCTAGGCTAGGCTCAGTGGGAAAAAGGAAAATACGGCCCAGAACTTGCACGAGGAGGTGATTGATTAACCGAAGAAATAAAATTCATGAGCATGCCCCGTGGCCTAGTGGTTAATGGAGCCAGATCCCACGTGGCAGACCCCACGTGTGAGTCCTCACCCTGGCTGCCGGAGAAAGCATACCAGGGGTGTGTGCCCACAGTCCTGACGGCACATGAGTGCAAGAGAAGGGATTGGGACATACCTCACTTCCCGGAGAGTGCGTTCCCCACCCCCC